CTATACTATCTTCAACCAGAATTTCTATGCTCTTCTTTTCCTTCAGGGATGCCTGTGGTCCATATGTTTCTATGCTGTGCATAGATCCAAATCTGCCTAAGACAGTGGTTCTCAAACTTCCGAATGCCGTGGCCCTTTAATATAGTTCCTGTGGATCACAATCCACAGGTTGAGAAATGCTGATCTAAGAGATCACTCTGCTTTTGTTCTCTTCTTTTCTCCCTTTAAAAATGATTGGGTTAGCTCAAAAGTCTTGTCTTCAAATACTGATATTCTTTCTTTTCCATGGTTTAATCTGTTGCCAAAACTCTCTGCTGTGTTCCGAATGGTTATTTTGATTATATGAGGTCTTTCCTAATTATGTCCAGGTCTTTGGTGACTTTGTCTTTAATTTAACTGATTTTTCAAGACAACTTTTGGACTCCTTTTTGCTGTTTTCCACTTTCTCTTCAATTCCATTCATCTTTCTTGCTGTTCAAATTCTGAATTCCATTTCTGTCATATAAAAAATTTCTTTATGGTTGGAATTTTCAGTGGTAGCTCCATTGTGGTCCATTGGGGGAGTAGATCTAGTCTGTTTTTTTTCATGTTGTCAGGGTTTTTTTTTTTTTTTTTTTTTTTTTGCAATTTTTGGCCAGGGCTAGGTTTGAACCCCCCACCTCTAGTATATGGGGCCAATGCCCTACTCCTTTGAGCCACAGGTGCTGCCCTTTTTCTTTTCTTTTCTTTTTTTTGTTGCCAGATTTTTTTTTACTTTTTTTGCTAGTTTCTCCTCTTGTGTGGTTTCCTTCCCCCCTTTTCCTTCTATTTTTCCTTTTGTTTCTTCCACTCTACCTTCTATTTTTCCTTTTGTTTCCTCCTCTCTACCTTTTCTTGCCTTAACTCTAGGCTATTGGGTTGATTTGACCCTGTTTTCCCCATTGATTTCCCTTCCTGCTTCTCCTCTTTGCTTTTGGTGTCCTGTGCAGTTGCTCTGTGGCCTTACAGAACTGTCTTTGAGAGGGGTGGTCCAAATGGTGGTTCCTGCATGCACTTCTCCCCACTTTTGTCAGGAGAGACTGCAATGGGGCTGCCATTAGGCCACCATTTTGGCTCCTCCTCATCTTGCAAATTTTAATAATTTTTGAACAGAGGATCTCACATTCTCAGTTTGCCCTGAACCTCATGAATTAAGTGCTCATCCTACAGTCTAAAAGGCAGTGGCTGATATAACTCAGGACTACACTATAATGCCTCCAATCAAATTATAGGGGACTGGGAATGCAAAACAATGATTTTACTCTGGCTGAAGTCATGTTAATTCACCTGTCTCCATGCTATTGTGGGGAAGGCACTGTTCCCAAGGAAGTGGCTCTGACCCATGTATGGCTAGTATAGTATGGGAACAACACCAAGAACATTTTCCTCCATTTTCCAAGTATCTGCTCTGTGCTCGGCTCTGTGCCAGTTGCTATGGGAAACACAAAGCACCACATTGCCACTCTCAGGGAGCTCCTAGCTGCATGGGAGGGTGGGACACAGATCTCTTTGTTATACCCTTGGGATTAGTCTCACACAGGGCACAAACCCATCATTCAGGAGTTCAATGACAGGATTCAGAAAGTGATCCCTGGGGTCTATGCTGTCAGGAAAAGCTTTGGGTTAAGATAGGATTCAGAAAGGGTCTTAAATGATGCCTGGAATTTTTTAAGAGAAGAAATGAAACCCTCAGCCCTGGATATGGACACATCACATACTCTGTCATGTTGGATCTTGCATTTGAATTGATCATAATATACTGGAGTTGGAGAATGTTGCAGGATGGGTTCTATGGAAGCAGATACTAAGGTGGACTTTAGGGTGTGTATTAGCTCCCTATGAATGCTAAAACAAACTATAACAAATTAGGTGGCTCAAAACAATAGAAATTTATTCTCTTATAGTTCTGGAAGCCAGAAAACTAAAGTCAGTTTCACTGGGCCGAAATAAAGGTGTGAGCAGGGTCTTACTCCCTCTGGAGGTTCTGCAGGAGAATCCATTCCTTGCCTCTTATAACTCCTCATGACTGCTGAAGTTCCTGGCTTGTGGCCACATCACCTCAATCTCTGCTTCTGTCTTCACATCATCCCCTCTTCTTTTGCTCAAAACCCCCTCTGCCTCTCTTTTTTAATGATATATGTGATGGCATTTAGGGCCCACCTGGATAATCCAGGATAGTCTCTTCTTCTTAATCCTTAACTTAATCACATCTTTTGTCTCTTAAGGTAATAGTCACAGGTTTTGGGGATTGGGACCTAGACATATCTTTCTGGGGGCCACCATTAAGCTCACTACAGGATGTAAAATGTTTAATGGGGATCAGCATCTGTAGAAAGGAATACAGAAGAAGCAAGATAGTCAGAGGGAAGTTAAATTGTGATGCAGAACCAACAGCATCTTGACCAGTTTGATGGAGAATTCTTGAAGGAGAACTGCCTCTCAGAGTTATTGATCAGTAGGCTAAAATGGCTGGGCCTTCATACCTCCCCATGCCAAGTCACTGGATAGAGATAAGCTCTAGGGAAGATGTGACCCCAAGTGTAATTACTCTGTGCTGCTGAGGCCCAGCCTGAAGGAGCTAACAGCTGAGGCTGCTGCTAACTATACTCCAATGCTGCAAGAGTTATTCCTTAAAGGGAGATCAGGGTAGTTTAGTTCTGTGCCCACTGCAGGGAGGGAGTGGGAGAGAGCATCAGCAGATGGCTGGGGGAAGGGAGCTGATGTTCCCTGAAGGCAGCACATGAGTGGGGCCCATGGTCTTTAAGCATGTTGACAAGAACAGTATACATTTGCTTTGCCATGAAAGTGTATGAGAAAAGGAACTTTGGGACCTCCTAAACCTGGGGAAGCCACTAGCTGGGGAACTATTTCTAGGCCGTTCCTAAGCGTATGTAGGCCCTGCTAACATCTGCCCTGCCTTTCTTAGTTCTTGACTTACACTGTGAATGTGAACACATCTGTACTTGTACACAGTCTTATTATAATTTGTACTAAAAACAAATCTTCTAACCACTCCCTCCAAGGAGCACTCAAGTGGTTCAGGGCACAAGCTCTCTTTCTGCTGGTTCAGGAGGGGCTTGAGACTACATTTCCTGCCTGGACTCAGCAGGACTAGGAGTTGCATGATGATTTTGAAGGAACATTCCTCAGAGTCTCAGGTAATAGGTCTGGAGGAGAGAAGGGAGTAAGTAGTCTCCTTCTGCCTTTGCAGGTGGGCAGCATGCAGGGGAGGGGTTAGAAGTTTACTTTAGACCACACACTGGCTCATTTCTAAACTCCCTAGGGCCCTCACTCAAAGTCACTGATCACATGGCAGCATTTTGCAGTGGAAAAACACTAGGGACTGGCTTGTGCTTCAAAGGGTCTCTGTGGAAACTCTTTCTCCTGTGTGGCTCTCTGGAAGATCTGGAGGCTGTAGCCTCTTTCCTGGCCTTTGGGGAGGGACCATGACTGCACAGGTAGGAAAAGATGGCCAGTCTTTGGCCTCCATATCCAGCTACAAGGCAGCCATTTCAACTGTTCCAAGCCAGTCCAAGGCTGCTCTTCCATAATGTTGGCTTGTCATCCCCCCTGCCACGGTTGCTTTTAGGCAGTGACCACAATAGTCAAAAGGCAGCCCAGTATACCACAAAATCAAGCTTTGGGGGGTCTATTTTTAAATATGAGTGAAGAGACAAGAATTAGATATTACAGGGTGAGAGGCAGAGGCTGAAGAGGAAGGTAAGAGGAGCATGGATGGATAGCAGGAGTTCTGTAGCTATCTTAGCAAATCACTCCTCTCTGGACCTCGGTTTCCCCATAGGCATAGCAAGACCCATAGGAAGGTCAGAACCAAGTGACCTTGGAGGTAAATGGAGAGGACACTGGGGGAGGAGGTCTGGCAGAGGGGCTTGGCAAAGGTCCAGAAGAGCCTTGCTAATGTTTCAGGGGTTGGGGCAAGAGCACACATGGAAACCCACATGCTATGTGGCTAAATACTTAAAAGGTATAAAAGCAAACTAACAAACTATTAAGATATATTCTACTGGCTGACCTTAAAAAACATATTTATATAATGAACCTGTAAGGTCAAGTGTGAATGAAAATTCTTGGGACTCCTTTGAGTCCTGTGTGTGGAGAAAGCTGGGGCTGGTGCCCAGTTGTGGCTTACAGGGAGAATCTTCTCCCACTCACAGGCCTCCTATTCTAGGGAGAGGGGCCCCAGCTGCGGTGTTCTGAAATCCATCTTTGCAATGAGGCCAAGGCCACACTTCCCAGAGGTCATTCCTGCCAATGACTAAATGCAACCAGGATTCTAAGGGGGTCTATTTGTGGAAGGCAAAGGGCTCCCCTGATGGCCACTTTTCTTTGAGGACAATCTGACAGCCTGTTGAATTTTTCTTCAGTTTTGAGGACAGTGGCCCAGCAAGCTTCTGCCTGTCCTCTCCTTCACTAGGGCTCAGCCTTGCAGCCTAATGCAACAGTCCTCTTGGCCGCTGCTCTTCTAACCCCAGGCTCCTTCCCACACCATGAAATGCCCCATGTGCAGTATATCTGGAGCACCAGGCACCACGGCGTGGCCCAGAAGTGGCTGTGGCAGGGATGCCCCTTTGGCGGACATGTGTCTCCTTACCCCATGGCGCATAGGGAGCAGGAAGGAGCCCTGTTTTCTGAAGTGCTAGTGGTCAGGAGCCTGTCCTCCTCCTCAGCCTCCTGAGCATGCTTTGGGAACAACACAATTTGTAACCACCTGCACTAGGGGTGGTGAGAATGTGTTCCAGGGCCCTCTCACTCTGTCTTCTATCACCCTCACAAGATCTAGTGCAGAATAGAGGAAACTGAAGTTCAAAGACATTGAGTGCGGGTCCATACTGGGGTCTTCTGATCCTCACCTCTGGGATCTGTGAGGACATCCCAGCCTGGGATGGGGTGGGAATCACGCTGTATCACACAACCCCTGCTTTGGTAGCACGACTGATCATTAGTCCCTGGGAAGTGAATATGCATTTCTCCTAATGTTTAAAATGGAGCTACTGCTTTCAATCTTGCAGCAACTCAGCCAGAGAAGTGGAGGGCCAAGTGTGTTGTTTCTCTGAGGCCAGCCAGGCGTTAGCCCCTCAGAACTTATCATTATATTTGCAGTCTGGGTAGCGGTAGGCAAATCTGGGGTCACAGGTTCTCATGGGCCTGAGGATGTCCTTTAGCCGGTTGGCGGCCCCAAAGACTTCTGAGTCTGGGCGGGCAGCCTCTCCACACTGAGTGAGAGCAGAGTCAATCTCCTCTTGCACCTGGTAGGGAAACCTCTTCTGGAGAAGTCGAGGTAGCAACTGCTGACACACCAGTACTAGACTCTGCTTCTCAGGGATAGTATCACAGGAGGGCAGCTGGGCCTGGCAGCCAGAAATGAGGCAGCTAAAAATGTCTTTGTTCTTTTCTGTCCTGGTGGCTGCTTGACTGCCTAGAAAAGAAATGGGAAATATTACATACCCTATGCTCCTTGGGGGAGGGCACTACTAATTAAAATTACTGGGCAAAATGGTTTAGTCTCTTAGCATTTTCCTGTCACCAGGAGATTTAGAGCTCAGAGACACAATGGCTCCTTCTGAGAACCCACATGGGAGGAACTCTGTCTGCTACAATAGATTGAGGCCTAGGCACGGAAAACCCACTTATCCCTATTGGAGGTTGGGATTATAATTGTAGGGATCGCATCCATATTGTTAGTGTCACCATTATTATTGAATTAGGGAATTCAGGAAATTATTAGGACTGGTTTCATTTAGTCTTTTAAAATACAAAGGCAGAAGAGAAAACAGGTAATTCTCAATATGCATCCAAATGGTTGTAATGGGATTGACCTTTAGCAATTTACATAACCTGAATATTCTGGGATCAGCCTCAGTTTTTCTAATTTGAGCCTTCTTAATAAAGGCAAATCAGGAAATGAGTAAGCGTGGTTTAATTTGCCAGTCTTTGTAGACCCTCTCACATAAACAAAATCAGAAATTGGGAAATGAAATCATTTGTTCTCTTATCAGGCTCAGAAAATTTGGTCACTGTTAGAGATTGGGATGTTCAAAGAGTTCTAGAACTCTAGATGAGCCTTTGCACATAGTGGGAAACATGATTTACTCATCCACCTCATTTGATTCCATGTTTTTTAATTTGAAAATTTCATAAAAGCAAATGTGCCAAAATGGATTGCAAAATGTACCAGTGAGTCAGCCAGATATTTAAGTTTTAGATAAAAGCTAAAAGCATCTAATGAGAAAGGGGGAGATGAACCTGGGAGTTGTACATGTGTGTGAGGAGAAGCAGGGCAGGTCCCTGAGTGGCATGGTCCCTGAGCCACACAGACCTAATAGGACAATAGCACTGCCCTGCAGGGATGCAGCCCAGGCTGTGCAGCCCACTATGCACAATGCCCCTCATGGACAAAACTAAGTCCACTTTGCTTTGGATGTAGAGCAGAAATTCAAATGAGGGTGACAGACAATTTTACAGGACATCTGACATTCTCTGAATTTGGGTTGCTCTCACTGTGATCCATGGAGTCAGGAAAGGCCTAATAGTGTGACCCTCCAGCCACCCCTCCCTAGCTCCTGTCACCCTGACTTCCCCTCTGACAGCTGCTCAGCCAGGCCCATGCTGAGTACCTTCCTGCTTGTCAATGACGCCCAGTGCGCTGGCATCCCGGATGAACAGATGCCCATTGTTAAAGATGCCAAACATGCCTGCGTCAACATGGGTGAAGTAGAAGAAATAGTTCAAATCGTTGCTCCTCAGAGACTCCAGGACACCAAGGAGCTGGTATGCAAGGTCGGCTGCCTGGTCTGGGGGAGCACTGTAGAATTCCTGCAGTGGTCTGGTGCTGGTGCTGATGAGAAATCTGCCACAGGCACCCAGGTACTTGGGCAGTGGCCATCCTTCAGCCCCAGGGAATATCTGTCAAACCAGAAGGAGGAGGCATTAGAGGATTAGAGAGAAAAATCTCATGGTGACAACATTTTCCCTCTCTCTCCTTCTCTCACTGCAAGCACAGACAGATCAGTCTTACATAGGCATCCAACATCTCAAGACATGTCAGCAAAGTATCTCTTAACCTTTTTTTATACCTCCTGGAATATGGCAGTACCCTTGCCCCTACCCACTTTTATATTCTAGTCTTGATGGAAATACTCAGAAAGGAGGCTAGTTTTCTTTCTCTGAAGTGTACTTTTTTCAACAGAGCTCCTTCAAGCTGGGTTGGAGAATGTTAATGGACTTGTTGAAATTTTAGATGGTATCCAGGATTTCAAGAAATATGTTTATGGACATGGATTTATGTTTTTAAGAGTTGTATAGTTGAAAAAATATATCACTGCTTAGGAAGAAGCTATGGGAAAAATAATAGAGAGCCAATTCAAGGCTTATTTAAAGAAAAGAAAAAAAATTTTTTTTTTTTTTTGCAGTTTTGGGCTGGGGCCAGGTTTGACCCTGCCACCTCTGGTATATGGGGCCAGCACCTACTCCTTTGAGCCACAGGTGCTACCCTAAAGAAAAATATTTAAAAAAATAATAGCACAGGTACCCGGTTCTGGGATAGGACAAAAATCGTGACGGTGGGCTCTTGGATGACTCAAGTTTTGGGAACTGCTGCTCTGGCCTTAAATCTCTCTTTTGCCAGCTGTTGTTAAATCTGCCTGGCTGGGACAACTAAATACATCAGACAGACGTCCCCCAACTGATTGGAACCTTCCAGACAGAGTAGTACTGGCCTACGGAAGCACATAGCCTGGTCTCCTCTGTCTCCTTGTAAGAGCTTCAACCTTGTAGATTTATGAGATGAAAAAGAAAGGAGGGAAGCTTGGTTGGCCTTTTCTAGAGTATTGATTGAGGCAACTGTATCTAGAATTGTGTTTCCATGGGGAAAATAACAGAAACTATACATGCACTTTACACTTTTAGAACTGTAAACTTTATTTCTTATTTTTCTTCTTTAAAAGACAAAGTTATCACCATCTCTGATGATTTTTAAGGTCTTCTGCCCTTTTTATCCCACCTACCATATTGTGAGAAATCCATGTCCATTAGCTTAGAGGGGACATTTTCCACTATGTGCTGTGGAGGAAGGACCTGATGCTGGAAGCATCTTCATGGACCACTTCATGGACTATGACTTACTGTGTGGCCATGCAGCCATTCCTGGGTTCCACACTATGAATTTCCTGGGAGAGCCCAGGGTTGAGTGGAGGGTTTCAGCCATATGGTTTCAACCTACACTACTCAGGAGCCTGGCCTAGAAATAGCCAGGGTCTGGGAGAAAAGGCCTTGGAGAGTGTAGGACAATATGCAATTCATTTTCCTCCTCTAGTATTTCAAATGCCAACATTACTAGGCAGATTTCAAGAGGAAGAGCATGGCTTCCAAGGGGAGATAGCTCTGGGTTTGCCCATTGCCAACACTGGCTAAGTGACTTTGGCCAAATCACTTCATTTCTCTGAGCCCTACTTAACCTCATCTAGAAAGGAGACAGTTATAATATTCCCAGGGTGTTACTGTGAGCATTAAATAAGATAATAATGTCAAATGCTCAATACAATGCCTGACAAGTGGCAGGTGCCAGGTAAATGAGAGCTGTTGTTATGTATTCAGTCAGCTTAATTCTCCTCTACCTTCACCTCTCCCCCACCTCTTTCTTTCCTTCTCCTTCTCTCCTTCCTTTTCTTCTCCTCCTACCTCTCCTTCTCCTTCTTTCCCTCCTCTTCAACCTTCCTCTTCCTTTCCTTACAAATCCCTCTCATTTCCTAGTTCCCTTTGTGTCCATTCCGTGACCTCTGTGTTTTGACCCTTGGGGCCAGGGGCCAATTGAGATCATTGGACTCCATCTGTTCTATGTATGTTGGTTTCCCACTGGACTGGAAGCTGCATGAAGGAAAGAGCCACCATACCTGTCCTGCTGACCCAGGTTCTAATACATCCTCATTTACTTGCCCATTCCCCTCTTGTTAGACATTTAGGTTACTTCCATTTTTTCTCTTTTCCAAATATAGCTGCAGGGGTTATCTCTGGGTGGGTCATTTTTTGACTTGCTCAAATCTTACTGATCTTTGAGGCACAGGGAAAAGCTGCCTTCCCTTATGAAGCCCTTCAGGGCTGCCTCAAGCAGTGAAGGTGGCTACTGTCCCCAACTACCTACTTCCCCGACTAGGAACTTCCATACCTCTTTCCTCTATAGAAAGCACAACACTTTCACACAAGAGACACCAACAAATCTCCTTCCCCTCCCCTCTTTTCCTCTCTCCACCCTTCTCTCCCCTTCCCTCCCCTCCTCCATCTTGTTCTGTCTCCCAGGTTGGCATAAAGTGGCCTGATCATAGCTCCCTGCAGCCTTGAACTCTTGGGCTTAAATGATCCTCCAGCCTCAGCCTCCTAGGTCACTGGGACTAGAAACACTTGCTGTGTTACCCAGGCTGTTACTCCTTGCTTCAAGGGATCCTCCTGCCTCAGCTTCCCAAGTGACTGTTACCACAGACATGAACCACCATCAACAGATATTTTCTGAATATCACAAAGGTTCTACCATGGGCTGGTGTCCCCAAGGCATGCAGTAAAAGGAGGAAGAGAGCTCAACCCAGAGCTGGTCCCTGGGAGTCTGAAGTTGACTGGCAGCCTGGAAAGCTGGCTGCTAAGCACCTGGAGGAGGATGGGGTGAGTGTTGACAGCCAGCGTGTACAGCAGACGCAGCTTGTCGCGGTCGGTGAAGTGGTCCATGAAGATGCTTCCAGCATCAGCCACCTCAGCATAGCGCCGGACCACGCGATCCAGGAGTCGCTGTGATGGGCAACGCAGGAGGGGAGTGGGCAGGTCCTGTGGGTAGGCAGGAGAAGAAAGGGTGCTTGAGTGCTTGTGGAGGAAGGCAGGATTGGGGGCATGGGCTAGGCCTTGCTAGTGGGGGAGACCTTGTGGTTGGGGGGCCGTATGCGGGGAAGTACCCAGAAGAGGGATGAGAGGAGTGGTGCTGTGCAGGCAGGGGAGGAGGAGATGCTGGGGCAGGGCAGGGGGCTAGAGCACTCCTGGAGGATGGGGGCGGGGGGGCCAGCAATGTCTCTGAGAGCTGAGGGGAAGGGACTCAGCCCTGGGGAGGGCAGGGCAGGTGGGCACTGGGCAGGCTAGGGGGGAGAAGGAAGAAGAAAGGAGGGAAGGTGGACCTTCCTCACCACTCCCCTAGCTGGCAGTTGTATCCTCCCACCATTGCACCCTACCCTGCCCTTTGGAAAATTGCTCATCCCAGACAGACTTCTTCCCCTGCCATTGGCCCCTTTTGAGTCCTTCCACCTTTTCACTGTCACTTCGTCACAACTATGATGCTACATATGAGCATCTTTATTTATGCCATTTTGTTCATGGGATAAAAGTTGGACAGAGGGACTTAGGCTTGTTTTCCATGACTTTCCAGCCCTTTTGTACACCTTTCTGCTCATGCTGAACAAAGAAGATAAGGAATCGCCTAATAAAAGGAAACGTACTTCAGAACAGAACCCTAGGGCCAATCTGCCAGAATTCAACTTGGTTAACTACCAGCTGTATGACCTCTGACAAATTACTAGTCTCCCTGTATCTTTTGTTCCAGTCTAAAGTAAGGGGACACCTAAAAGGTCATGAGGATCAAATAAATTAGAAGATGTAAATTCACAATTTGCATGCAGTAGCTCATTTAATCCTCCCAGGCACTCCACGAGGCAGGTGCTATTATGAGTCTCATTTTGCAATTAAGGAATTGGAAGTTTGCAGAGCATAGGTAATGGTTGGAAGGACTGGATTCAGGGTTTGAGCCCAGTGAGTTAGATCTTAATATCTGTGCACTTTCCCCTGTAAGGTCCTGCCCCACCCCCATCCCAGGAAGCCACCCAGAGAAGGTTTTTTGGCTTCTGTTAGTCTTGATCTACATATCCTGAAATCCCACAATTAGAGATGATTGTTAGGGGACAGGGGATGGAAAAGGAATTTATTCTCTTCTCTAAGAGTCAGTTCTCAAATGAAAATACCTCTGGGAGAGGTAGGACACTAAGTGGGCGTAACAATAGCAATAATCATAAGTAATAACTATTGAGTGCTTACTATATAACAGGAGTTGTTCTAAGCCTCTCTCAGGTAATGTTTTCATTCATTTACTCCTTGCAAGAACCTATTTTTGCTTCATTTTGCAGATAGCAATACTGAAATTAAGAGAGATTAAATGAGTTTTCCCAAGTCATATATTCCTGGTAATGTAACCAAGATAGTACACTGGGTGAGAGGTAGATGGAGCCAGGCAGGACCCATGCTCTTATTTGGGGTGAGAGAATCACATCATATAACCGTGCACTTAGCTGACATCAGGGCACTCATTTATTCATTCACCCACCAATGTTTGCAGAACATCTACTGAGGACCAGACTATATCTATGGACACAAAGGGGAACAAAACAACAAGTCCTGCCTTCCAGAGTACTTGTTGGCTGGAGCAGACCATCAGGTGCCCAGTGGTTATGATGTAGTGCAGGAAGAACTATCGTAGTGAGCTATTGGAGCCCACCAGAGTGGGGCCTCATTATAAATTTTGTGGGTTTTCTGTACCCTTGCCTTCCTGGGCCCCTTCCTCTATGAAAAATATTAATCATATTTCACAACTGTGTTAGTATAGACACATACGTTAATACTATATATTCAAACATTTTCTTGGGCTTAAAAGTTCATTTTTTCCCTTTTTATTAAAAAAAAAAAACAAAACATTTTCGTGGTATCTTAAAAGACTTCTTAAAATATTGTGAAGACTTCAAATCTTTGTCAGTAGTAGGATCATGAAGTCCTGATCTAAGCAGAGGCCTGAAGCCTGTGTAGAATGAACTTGTAAAGAGGATGGAAGAGTATTTTATGCAGAATGAAGAGTATATGCAAAACCCTTGAGATGAAACAGAATGTGCTGGACACTACAGATATGTTAGGATGCCTTGAAGCTAGAGTATCACTAGGGAGAGTACACAGACAGAGACCCCAAAAAGAAGAATGTTGAAGTCATTTTAAGGAGACTTTGTCTACTTCTGTGTGGCCTGTGCTGATCAAGTGCAAGCCCACAGTTATATTGGCCAATGGCAAGCAAAATTGGGAAACCACACAGTTCCAATAAAACCAAAATACCATTTCAAAACCAAATACACCAATTTAGGGAATTCCTGCTTCGGAGTTTCTAAATCACTGCTCCCTTCTGCATACCTGGGCAACAGGGCTAATCTACCACCTTCCACTGAAAGGCAAAAGGAAAACCAAACCCTGGGCCTTGGCTAATTTCCTTATCTTCATATTTCCTGTCTGGTGTTATCCCTTAGGGAACCAACCAGCCAGTCAATGTGTTCATTGTATGAAGCTGGTGAGAGGGCTTCTTCTCTGCCATATTGCCTCTTAACCAGGACCCTCAGTGCAGAGTGATACTGAGACTTGTCACAGTTTGCTACCACAATCTACAATAGTCTGAAAAAGACGCAATAACATTTACTGGGTATGTTGACATGATGGTTAACTTTATGTGTCAACTTTGCTAGGTTATGATGCCCAGTTATTCAATCAAGCATTTATCTGGGTGTTGTTGTAAAGGCATTTTGTAGATGTGGTTAACATATACAATTTAGTTGACTTTAAGTAAAGGAGATTATTGCATCAATCCAGATGGGCCTGATCTAATCAGTCAAAGGTCTTCAGAACAAAACCAAGATTTTTCTGAGGAACAAGAAATTCCACCTGAAGACTGCAATGTCAGCTCCTGGCTGGTGGTCTACCCTGTGAATTTTGGACTTGCTATTTCCCACAATCACATAAGTTAATTCCTTGAAATAAATCTGGATGTATATTCTAATAGATACAGGCATATCTCCTACTGGTTCTGTTTTTATTATAAAATCCTGTCTGGTACACTGGCTAAGAGAAAAACACTTGTTCATTGCAGCAATGGAGACTGAAATCTAGATTTGCTTTCACCTTTGAAGCATCTAGTGAAATCTGAGTACAGGAGACACAATTTTCCAAGTGAATCATCTGACCTTTGATTGGCTTTTATCCGTAGCCCTGAGTTTTGCTCAGAAAACATTGCTAGTAATCAGCAGTGTCCTCATTTCAAGGATTCTTACTAGACCAGAAGCATAGAAGTTAAATAGTCTTGACAGATGATTTCATCACTCTGATGGAAGTATTTAAAAAAATAAAAAAGCTATGTTTTTGTTTCACTCTAGAAGCTAAAAGTCAGAGTTCATCCATTAGTAGGGCAAAAAGAGGTTTTCCTTCAGACAAGACCAAAATTTAAAAGTTTTGTGGATCTTTGGTAATCTTGTCAGCATTGCTGTAGCTCCTCTTCAGATTCTGCTCCATGGGTAAAATTGGCCCGACTGAGTGTTCCTCCAGAAGTGGACCACAATAGGACCACATCTGGGTTGGGGTGGGCTGAGTCACAGCCTCATCTAGAAGACAAGAGCATGGTGGAAAGAGCCTAGGCTTTGGGGTTGACCACTTGCCATTGGAGAATACTGTGCAAAGGTAATCCATTGCTGGTGGCTTTGTGTGGTGGTGAATTCGGGAGGGAGGCATGAAAGCCGATGTGGAGGGCTGATGCCGAAGCTTCTGTAGTGGTTACTATTTGAAAATGTGCTTGACATTACACAGTTGGGAGAAGGAAGCTAAGACTTTCTGGAAGTTCTAAGTGTTGGGCCCTATGCCAGGCCTTTTCATAGGCATCATCTCAGCACACACAGGGACTTGAAGCCTTTAGTTCTCTCAGGCCCTGGTGACATCCCAGGAAATTTAAAGTGATTGATGGTAAAAAGGCTTCAAAAAAGTTGTGGAAAATAATGTGACATTAATTTTTATAGTCCATGCTGACAAATGCAAATGACAGACTGCATTATCAAGTGATCTAGTAAAATACCCTTATTTTTCACATGAGAATAAGGACCAGAAAAGGGAAATGGCTTGTTAAGATCATGCTGCTTGTTAGTGTTCAAGTTTGTGTTCATACCCAGATACCACTAGGGCATTAAAAATGATTTAATGTGAAGAGAAGGGAAAAAAGCTTAGAGGTTTCAGACTAAGGCAGTGTCCAAAAATTACCTGGTAATTGAAGCCTTTGCTGTGCTATAAAAATACAGATCCTTAGGCCCCTGTCTAGAATTTATGGTAGATAGATAGGATGGAGGCCTTAAGATTCAGCATTTTGACAGGTGTCTTGTGTCATTCTTATTATCAGGCAAGTCTGGGGAACACAAGCGGGGAGCATGGGAGGTAAGGAATTGAAATGTGATTTAGCATTTCCATTGTAGTTTTGGGAAGACTTCTTACTTTATTTTGAAACAAATACAAATGACTGTGCACTCTTGATGGTAGAGTAAGGACACTGGTGATGACTTCCTATCTGGGGACATCTTTCCCAAGAAGGTTTTGGCTAATAAAAGCCCAATGCATTACTCTTTAAAAGTGATATATACACCAAAATGAGGGTTCTCCAGAAAACCAGACAACCTTTAAAACCAACTGAATGAATCTCTCAGGAGAGATGGGGTTACTGGCTCTTTACATTGTATCACAGAGCCAGCTCTGCCTTCTCACAAGGTGTGAGCCTCTCTTTCAGAGAGCAAGGAGGGCTCGAGCAGAAAGAAGAGTCAGGAGAGACAGGGTGCAGCTGCAAAGCTATTGACTGTACAAGGGCCATGTTTTGACTCCAATTGGCCATTTGCCCCTTGCTGCAACTCAAGATGACATGGAAAAAAGGAAGGCTGAGATTCTAGATGCCTCAATTTTTAGGCTTCCTATGTTGGGCCAGGGATGGGTGAAGACAGTGGGATTAC